GATTTGAGGTCATAGGCAAGAGGGAAGAACAGAATATTGAAGCCCAATGCCTCCGTTTTGTAAATGGGACACTAGGACTCAGAGAGCTAAAGTGGTTTGCCTGAGATGAGACATTTTAGGATAAATAATACAAGATTAAAATTCAGGATTTTCTGACAACTGATCATTGTGCTCTTTCTATCACTTAGAAAAAATTCTAAGCAAACCATAAATTTTTTTTTTTTAATTTTGCCCTTTATTGTCCTATCTCAGTAGCAGAAGGGGAAGTGGTAGCTGTGGTCTCCCAGTGATGAATGATGAAGACCCGACCTGGAATGAGTAGGACCAGATGCTAGAAAGCACAAACCTAATAGGTACACACTGTAAACTAGTTCACTTGAGATCCATTTGCATACCCTTCTTGTACCACAGAAGCAAGAAAGCTAAAACTCAATCTTCCCAGACTTCCTTGCAGCTAGGAGAGACCATGTGGGGTCTGGTGAATAAGACATAAGCTCAAGTTAGCTGGTTCTGCCTCTTTTTCTTCCCCTTTCTTTATAACTGAAATTTGAACTTGATGCTTGAGGTGTGTCAGGCATCCTCAGGATGATGGTGCAGGGAGAGAAAGAGCCCAGTTCCTTGATGGCATTTTTGAGGGGCTGTACAACCCTGATTTGTTTAAATCCAGACTTCTTACATGGGGTATATAAATCACTTCCTCAGGTAAGTTCATGTTCACCAGGTTTTATGCTGATGTAAGTAAAAAATACATAATTTCTTCTCTTATGGATAAAACGGTTAGAAAAAATTACAGATATTAAATTAATAGAATGAAATAACTAGCTAATACATGCAAAATTCAACTGTAGCTAAGTGCAATTAAGGAGAAGTTCAGGGTTTTGTGAAAATTTATAATAGGGAACCTAATCCACCCCGGAGGACCAGAAAAATCCTCCATGAAGAAGTGACATTTCGAGATGAAACTAGAAGGACAGGTATTGGCCAGGTAAAGAGTTAGGATAGAGAATATCTCAGGGAGAGGAAAGCATAATGAAGGCCCAAGTGGGGAAAGGTAATTGTCATATTTAAAGAGCAGAAAGCATGCCAATGGATAGGAATATAGGGAGTAAAGGAGAAAATTAGGTTAAGTAGGCCCTAAGGGTAAGTAAGATCCAAAATATGTTAGTCTTGTAGTTTAATTTAAGGATTTTGAAAATATTTTGGACTATATATGATACACGATATCATATTCCTCAGAAGTGGGGAAAACTAAACCTAGAGTAAGCCAGCTCTGGTCCCTCCTAAAAAACTTAAATGGAAGGCTTGATGGCATCAAACTATTTTCAAGTTTTTAACTGTGCCCCAAAATAACCACTCACAAATAGTTAATAAGTACAAAAACATCCAACAGACAATAAGGTAAAATTTACAATGCCTTGCACCCTATTGAAAATTACCAGGCAGACAAAGAAGGAAAGTATAAGCCAAAATGAAGTGAAAAATCAATCCAAAGTATCACAGAAATGATATAGATGATGGAAGCAGTAGACAAGTTATTATCAATGTATTTTTAAGAAGCTAAAGATCAGGCATGTTGAGACATGGAAGATTAAAAAAAAAACAAAATTGAAATTCTAGAGATAAAAGCTACATGGACTTTGTATTGCTTAGACATTGAAGAAGAAATAGTCAACTCAAAGACATAGCAATAGAAATTATCCAATAAGACACACACAGAAAAAAAGCAAAACAATAAAAAATGAACAGATCATCAGTAAAGTGTGGGAGAGCATCACTTACCATATGACCCAGCCATTCTGCCCTTAAGTATTTTTTCCAAGAGAAATAAAAGCATATGTCTATACAGACTTGTAAACCAATGTTCATAGGAGCTTTATTTGTTATAGTCCAAACTGGAAACAACCCAAAGTCCATGGGTAGTTGAATAGATTTTTAAAAACCACATTTAATATATATCTATATCATGGAATACTACCCAGCAATAAAAAGAAATGAGCTATTGATATGGGTAATAACATGAGTAGATCTGAAAAAAATGATGCTGAAGGCAGACAAATGAGTACATATCATGAAATTGTGTTTATATACAGTTCTAGAAAATGCAGACAAATCTCTAATGACAGAAAGCAGATCAATGGGGGAGGGAGGCAGAAAGAAGGAATTACAAAGGGGCAGGAGGAAACTTGGTGGTGATGTATGTACGGATTCATTACCTTGATTGTGGTGATGACCTCATTGGAGTATATTGATGAGAAATATATCCAATGGAACAGCTTAAACAGTAGTAGATTAATATATCTCAATTGTATCCCCATAAAGCTCTTAAAAATAAATATACATATAAATAAATAAACAGTTTTGAAACAAAGGAGAGAAGTGGCTCAGCAGCTAGAAGGAGATCCTGGAGACAGTGACTGAGGCTCTGTTTGTTGGGGGTGGAGATTTGGTTTTGTTTTGTTTCTTTTGTGAAGCAAACTCCAGCAAATTTATAAGCGTTAAGTATATATTTTTATATGCATAGAGAATTATAGGAAAAAGAAGAGACAATTAAGGGAGCAAAGTCCTGAAAGAAGAGACAGACTTTTCAGAGCCCAAGGCCAGGGGATGCAGTTGGTACTAGAGAAAGGGGATAAGTATGGAAGGATACATGTAGGACACATGGCTCCATTTTTTATGCTCCAATTGCAGAACTCTGAGAATAAGCTCTTCATTTTTGGGTACCAGTGATATTATCTTAAGCTAAATTAATCAAATTTACACATTCTTTCCCACTCAGGAGTAGTACATCCCCTTGGAAAAGTAATTTCTCATTAGAAGTAATTCAATGACTCCTTCTAATACTGAACTTAGGTTTGACCCCCTGCCCTTTTGAAAGCCAATACCCGAAAGAGAGAGGTGCTAATGTAAGGAAAGAGGGTTTATTCAAGTGTCAGCAGCTTGAGGAGGTGGTGGACTCCTGTCCTAAAGACCATAATATCTCAGGGCAGGCAGGGTTTTTATTAGGAGGGAGAGGGAAAGCAGAACAAAGAAATCAGGGGGAGGGGTTGAAAGTTCTCTATGTGTAAGTTAGCGCAGTCTGTGCTGGTGATCATCTCAAAGCTGATCAAGTGAAGGTGTGGTTTTAATCGTTGAAAGTCAGCAAATCTCCTGGACCCAGAATGTTGGTTGCTGGAATCAGCTTCCTTTGAAGTTAGTTTTTGGAACTCTTTCACAAATAATGCTGTTTACCTACGGGTTACATATTAGTTAACAATTCATCTTTTACAAAAACACTTTAAACAGAAACAATATTGAAAGAATAGAGGGGTGGGTTATACTTCCAAGTCTGGGTTTCAACTGATGATGAAATAAGATTATTTTATTGAAAGTGGACTTTGCTCTTCCCCTTATCAAGAAAGGGGCTCTTACGTTAAAAGGTGTTCTGCTCTAACAAAAACTCTTCCAGCATCCTGAGCAACGCCCAGAGCCCTGGTGTTTGTGTTTCCGGCACGTGTTTATGTAGTATGGAAAAGATGCAGTCAGCTGAGTGAAAGGGATGTTAGTCTTCAAAATTTCTAACACAACAGGATTGCTTGCTACGCAGTCATTGATATTTAAGTCAGTTCAGTCAAAAAGGCACAAAAACAGTCTGTTTAACAGACTCACTTGTCATTTTAAGGTTAAAATAACACGTAACTTAATGCTTTAATACCCTAATGTGCCATTTTATAAAGAAAGATTCAGACTTCCAGGAGCATTCAGGGAATTTAAAGAGGTAGTCCACTACGTAAAGTACGGAACCTGTAAAAGTGGTTTCTGTATCTTTCATATTCATTCAACAGGTTTACATGATGCATAAATAAGTGATATTTTTTACCTGTTTTATTTCCATCAGAACACACATTCTTCATCAACGTTAATTGAACATATTTGAGATTAAGGGCTAGCTGATTAGAGATAAATTGCTGTTACTTTTTTTTCTTTCTTTTTAATCCTTACCAGAGGATATGTTTAGAGAGAGGAAAGAAGAGAGGGGGGAGAGAGAGAGAAAGAAAGAGAAACATTGATCAGTTGCCTCCAGCTGCCCCAGGGTGGGGGGTGGAACCTGCAACCTTTTGCTGCACCGAAGGACACTCCAATCAAGGGAGCCACCTGGCCAAGGCGAAATTGCTGTCCCTCTAACTACATGTCGCTTGGGAACAAAATGTTTCTTTTGATTGAGTTTTAAGGGGTCCCTCACCCCTCGAAACCTGGCTCTTGCCCAGCAAACTGAGGAGGTGAGTTTACCATGTGCTGCCTAACTCAGGTCCCGCCCTTGGGTGAGTTCTTGGGAAGGGCTTATGTCCCTGTGAAACAAGCCGGGGAGAGGGGCCGAAGCCTGAGAGGAGAGGGTGCCTTTGGGACCCTCGGTCTGGGGGCTTGGGGCTGGCGCTCCCACCTGCTTTAAGCGCAGGGAAATGTGCGCACCAAGTTGTCTGCCTGACCCCACACCGGAGTTGTGTGGGTGCGCTTGGGTCCTGGAGATGCTCCACTGAGTAGAGAGTGCAGGAACCCCCTACCCTGGAGCCAAGTGAGTTGGTGATCCTGGTGACAGGCGACAAAGATGAGCTGGGCTGCTCCTGTCTCTGGCAGGACTAGCCGGCGTGAAGCGAAGAGGGGTTTGGGCGCCGCTGGAGGGCAGGGACTAGGCTTTGGCGCTGTCCAGCACTGGGGAGTGCCCGCCTCGCTCCCTCACGTGGTGCCGGCCCCCTACCGCCGGGCAGGGCCTGGCCTGGAGAGTTGGGGTGTGATGTGGGTGGCTCCCCGCAGACACTCTAGCTGCAGCGGTCCCAACCCCTCCCCCGCCGCCGCCTCCAGGCGGGAAGTGGAGGGTGGGAGTCACTGGAGCGTGATTGCCCGAGGCCCCTCCTGTCGCTGCGGGAGCTCCATAAAAGCCCTGCTACAACCCGCTCACGACACCCCATCACCGGCTCTCACACCAGGGAGAGGTGCTCCGGACAGGACAGCAGAGTACTCGCTGCCCCGCCACGCCCGCCCGCCAGCCACCGCCGTCACCGTGAGTGCCCTCGGGCCTGGACGGGAGCCCAGGGGTTCGGTGCGGGACCCTGTCCCACCCTCTGCGGAGCCTGGGGCGCTGGGAGGGCCGCGCCCCACTCCCCAGCCCCTGCTGGACTTGTGGGGTGCTTTCCCGCCCCTACACGCCCCAGCCGCCCCGGCCACTAGATTCCACCTGCCCTCCTGGTCCCCTCTGATCCTACAGCCGCCCTTCTCCCAGACCCTCCCCTCCCGGCTGGGTGGTCCTCTGGGTTGCCTTTTGGAGGAAGTGGAGGGAGAACTCGCCCCCCCCCGCCCCCTTAAACCGCAGGTGGCGGTTTCCTGGGGTCTCAGCCTGCAGGGAGGTTTCCCAGGCAGCGCCCCTGAGTGAAGAATCCTGTATCCTGGACGCAGCACGTCCAGCCTGGGATTCGACCTGAGACCCACTGGCCCAGGCGCAGTTCTCTCCTCTCTCCCCCAAATGGCCACCCCGAGTGGTCTCAGCCGTCTCTGGGCGCCTGCAGACGCAGACCAGAAGTCTCAGGAAGAAACTTTCCTCCCGGACAGGGTTTGGGGAAGGAGGATAGGAGAGTGATGTCCCTTTACGCAGCAGGGGGAACTTTTAACTGTTACAGGGTCTAAACTGGTGCCTCCAACTACAGGACTCTCCGCCTGTGACTTGGACCGAAGTCGCACGGAGTTTCCAAGTGGAGTGGAGGGGGCGCGCAGATTGTACCCTAAGCCGGGCGGTGCTGGCCACACTCGCTCACCTCTGTATCGCCGGGTCTAGCTCGTTCCGGGGGTCCTGGGTGTTAGCAGGGGAACAGGCTCCGGGAAGCGAGGGGGGTTGTGTGTGGCATGTGTTCTTTAAACCCCCGACCCCTTTCCCTGCACCTTTGGTGCCCTCAGATGCTGGGGAGCAAGCGACTGGGACTGTCCCGCCTGGCGCTCGCCCTGTCCGTGCTCGTGTGCCTGGGCGCGCTGACCGAGGCGTACCCCTCCAAGCCCGAGAAGCCCGGGGAGAACGCGTCTGCGGAGGAGCTGGCCAGATACTACTCTGCGCTGCGACACTACATCAACCTCATCACCAGGCAGAGGTGGGTGGGCCGCGAGGGACCTCCTCCAGGAGCCTCTTGTCCTGCTTACCCAGGGTCCTGGGGTCTCAGAGAGGACAGGGTCCATTTGTTCTCCTTCGCTGTATCCCAGGGCAGGACCGAATCAGGACGGTCAGCTCTCAGGGAATGTTTGTACAAGGCAGAGTACTTTCCCTCTGCAGTTAGTCACAAAGTCCCCATCCCCAGAATCAGGTTCTCCGCACTGTGTGGCTGGCATCCCCTCCTACCCATCATCCCCTTGCCTTTTTTGTTCTTAGAGCAGTGGGGGTACTGTTTTGGAACCAGGAAGGGTAAGTACCAGGTGAAAGGGTGGGCAGTGCCCCCCTCCCCCAATGGCTGCAGGGAAGCCAGAGGGCAGGGTGGTCCAGGAAAAATAACAAAACCCAAGGAGGAAAGAGCTGGTTGATAAAGACATTGCCAGGTTTTCCAATCTGCCCAGAGCAAATGGAATGACAGTGTTTAGGAAAAGACAAATAGAGCTATTCTCTTCTGTACTGTGTGTGTTTCAGACCCTTACTTGAAAATTCTGGTCCAAATAAATAGAGATTTAGCAGAAAACAAGTTGATCTAAAATGCAGACGTTTGCCCATTTCATAGCAGGTGAGTCCTGAAAAGAAAGTGTCTGCAGGGTGCTTTTTTAGGTAGAAGCTTATTGGTCTAGTAGTCACTCTGGGGTGATTCCAGAGATTGCATGGAATTCAGGAAATTGTAAACCTCATGCCGAACCCCCAGGAAGCTGAAATGAAATCCCACATTTTCACTCTCAATGTCAAATATTAAGCAAAAATTCAAATCCAAATAATTTTACAGATAATCTAGGATTTAAAATGTTTCTAAAATTGGTTCATCTTAGTTCTAAATCATTCAATATTTTATTATTTTAATTCTCAAGATCAAATGACCTTAATAAGCTAAAAAACAATGAACCCTTTAAAAACACTAATGCTATTTAATATATTTAAATTATGTTTTATAAAGTGTTGTTTTTGTTTTTATCATATTTTTGCTGTATACAAGTCAGGGAATAGTTGGAATGGATGCAAAGAGGGGAGAATTTCTATTTCTTAAATAAAGTTTCTTTTTTATGTTTCATCAAAAAGCTGTTTCATCCTGAGAAGTTTTCTAAAAGATCCCAATTTACATAGAATCAGAAATACGTGAGAGTACCAGAATTAAGTAGTATTGGTTTATGGTCCTTGAAGACTGATAATGTTAATTAGTGAAAAGCAACAGAGTTTTATATCCTAATAGACTTCTCAGAAAGTTAATTGCTTTTAGTTCTTGCTTATGCTATCTTACAGACCAGAGAAAAGAACTTGTACAAATAAAAATGATATTGTTCTTTTCTAAGAAAACCCTTGTTAGTTCTTTAGTTTGTCATTTATAACACCCAGGAGAACTTAGTTTTGAAAAGACAGTTGCTATAAAGCTTTATCATTATACGGTATAAAGCTTTAGCATTTCAAAATGTTTTCCTATGAGTTACTTTGTTCAGTCTTTACCTCAGAGCTTTGGAGTGAGTATATTTATCTCCATTTTACTAAGAACATTTCATGGAATCTTTTTAGGGGTGATGAAATTGGAGCCCTCCTACTCATTTTCCTCGGATGTTGTCACCGCCATCAGCAGTCAATATGACTTCCAACATCTTTGATGAGAAAAAAGGGGAAGGGACTTGAGTTTCAGGGGAAGAGATTCAGAGTCAGTGGAAATGAGTTGGCCCTAGAGCAGAGTTTTTGTCTTATCTTCATATAAATTCCTCCTTAAGAACTATTAGAGGTTTATAATCTGCACCAATAATCTGCATTCTGTATGTGTATTGCCTTCCCACCACACACACCCACTCAGATGCACATGTTGGTATTTTTGAGGATTATGGTGTCATTTGTGAATATATGTTTGACTTTGTCATAAATGCTCTCTTTCCTCCCTTTTTCCACACACTCCATGTTTTTAAGCTGTATACCCTGGTTCACTACTTCCAAAAGCTGCATTATTTTTTTCTAGAGCATGGTAGATCCACATCTTGTTAGATCAGTGGTTCTCACCTCAGGCTGGCTTTTTGCTCCTATGATATTTGGCAATGTCTGGAGACATTTCTTGTTTTCACAATGAGGGGTGGTGCTACTGGCACTTAGTGGGTAGGGGCCAGGGATGCTGCTGAACACCCTACTCTGCCTAGAACAGCCCCCTACCACTAAGAACTAGCCAGCCCCAAATGTCCATAGTGCTGTGGTTGAGGAACCCAGTCCTAGATAAGTGTTTCTCCACCCTGGTGACACCTTGCAATCATCTGAGAAATTTAAACAATATGCTGATGTTAGGCTGCACCCCTGTCCAGTTCAGTCAGAACCTGGGGGTAAGGGTGGATCTTGGACTTCATAGCAATTTTAAAAGCTATCTCATGTGCAGTCAGGATTGGGATTTTCCCCCCTCTGCAGAATCTATACCTTTGAAAATTAAAGCATTGTAGAGAAAAAGGATAATCCAGAATAAATTAGAGAAGGAAGAACAGTGAACAGTGCTGTCCTGTGCAAATCCTGCTATTATAGATGTAGTTTCTTTACCTGATAAATTGGAGAAAATATCGGCCAGTTCTTTCATTCACTGGAGCATGATGAAGATAAATGAGTGAAGGTTGCCCAAGAGTTTTAAGATTAGTAAAATCAACTGATGGACAGAATACACAAGTATAAGCAGCAGCCTCGAGTCTGATAAGACAGCTCCAGGAAATCTTTGAGGAAACCTCACAAATGATGGGGACAGGGGAGTCTGCTTATTTTTTTCTTCCCTTGGGTCCCAGAAAAGGAGCAATAATAGGAAGATTTCCCCCCCAAACTTAGTTTAATTGTGCTTGATAGGCAGTCAGAATATGCCTTCTGACAGCTCTGTTCCTCAGTTTTATCTCTTAGCTAATCAATCCAGCCAGGCTAATCTCTCATTTGCGAAAAAAAAGCGGCTGTTGGTGTCCAGTGCTTTTTTTGAAAAAGGGGCAAACAGCCTCTTTAAAAAAATGCAATTTAGTACTGTAGATTTGTTAGATTCTTTAGAGAGAGCGAGAGAGCGAGAGAGCAAAGGACGGAGGCATGGATCCATTTACTCACTCACCTGGAGAAAGTAACGTATGCCATCCTGACAAGAAAGCATAGCCTTGCATTCAGATATTGTCCTATTCATATCCTGCAACAGGAGAAAAAGACCAGAAACATTTCTACGGACCAGTAGGGTTCCTTTATTCTTACAAGGCAGATTAAAATCACAGCATGGCATATAAGCATAACCAATGGACGCAAGACACTGTGGGGAGGTGCAGAGGGGGGTGAGGGCATGTGGTGGTGGGTAGGGGAGGCAAGGGCAGGGGGATGTCAGTGGAGGGAAAAAGGAGACATGTGCTACTATTTGTAATACTTCAAACAATAAAATAAAAACTATATGACTACTTGAAACAAAACAAAACAAAAAAATCACAGCATGAGAGAAGGCTTTTAGCTTGTGGTACCCCAAATAAATAAGGAAAATATAGAACCCAGGTTCTATTGCTATCTTTAAGAAAGTTTGGATTTCAGCAGCAGCAACTTGCATTTGTGTATCATTTTATCACTTTCAAAGCATTGTGACACACTGCATTTTCACAAAGAGTCTGATTTAAGTATGTTATAATTTTGTTTTTACAAATGAAAAAAACTAAGATTAAAAGACACAGGTGGGTCTAGAGCTTTAGTCACCAATTTTGTTGTTAGAGATGTTTCTTAAATATCATCTAGTCTCTTTAAGATTTAAACTGCTGTATATCATTCGAACTATAGCCAATTAACTAATTATGGAAACATTAAAATCATACTTTGATGTACTTTTATTTCCTATCACCTAGTTATAAATATATCTACACATATATTATTTGTGGTATAAAAAGACAGGAATTTGGAATTTTGGTTGGGTTTAAATAATCTGCTGTTATTTAAGTATGTAAAAATTATATACATATTTAATTCAAAGTCATATTTATGATTTTTTTATTTTTTACTTTTTAATCGATTTTAGAGAGAGGGAGGGAGAGAGAGAGAGAGAAAAACATGGATGTGAGAGAAACATCAATCAGTTGCCTCCCACATGAACCCCAACTGGGGATTGAACCTAAAACTAGGGTATGTGCCCTGATGAGGAATCAAACCTGCCACCTTTTGTGTATGGGACAATGCTCCAACCAGCTGAGCCACCCGCCAGGGCATGATGTTTTTGATAATAATGTATGCTTTGTGCACCTAAATTACTGTTAGCAGATAATTAACTGAAAATCAGTTTTAGATTTGATAACCCAAATGGAAGACCATCTTCTTTTTTTCTAAATATTTTTATGAATATTCAAAACTTGCTTTAAAGAATTTTTTGTTGTTGTTGTTAGATATGGGAAACGATCCAGCCCGGAGACACTGATTTCAGACCTCTTGATGAGTGAAAGCACAGAAAATGTTCCTCGAACTAGGTATGGAAGGGCTAGTGTGGGGACTTTGGGGGAGGGAAACCAGAGAGGGCTGCTTGGGGAGGAAGCTTTGGAACTGAGTCTTCCAGACCAGGTAAGATTTGGAGAGAAATGGGGATGGGGAAGAAGGTGGGAAGGACCTGTCTTTTCATGTAGTCATTTGTAAATCTCTAAACTGTGGGGTAATATTTCCTACTGCAAATTATTTGGTGCTCCTTGGAAAACTTTAAATATAAGTGAATTTTACTGCAGAAATTACTCTATGGAGAATTTCTATTGGGTTAGAATTGGGAGAGCATTAATGAGACCCCATCTCTACATTTAAATGACCAATCATCCAATTTTGGTTGGCATAATCTTTGTTTTTTTATGTACTATGTGGAGTGTCTGGATATCCGAGAACATGTCCCTCATGAGTCTTATTCCAATCTTTCTGGTTTTACATGAAACTGTAGATAAATTACAGGGAGCTCATTTACTTTTTAACATATTTTAGTTCAACTGATGTCACATAGTAATTTATTGCATTCAATGAATAAATGCTGAACAATATATTATTCTTAGGGGATTGTGGCCTTGGGACTTTCTTGGAGGGTGGACTGTTGTGGGAAGAGATACACACCAATATCTAAGGGTCAAACATGGGGCCAGGACCCTCTGGTGCCCCTGGACAAGGAGTTCTGCTAAAAGGAAGCCTGGTCCCCCTTGGTTTTCATCCGCTGTCTCTTGCCTCTACCCCCAGTTAGATCACATGGCATATAGCTCATCTATTTCTGTGGTAGCTTGTCTGCCTTAAACCCAGAGCTCAACAACGGCAAGAACCAAGTTCCCCAGAAGAGGTCACTAGAACACTTGCTCAGTGAGTGTGACTGGCGAGTCACTCTTCATTGGGGTTCCCCTTGGAGGTTAGAGCAGATGACCTGCCCTCCAACCCTTCCTCTGTTCCCTTGTGCAATGGCCAGCCAGGGTGAAGGTGCAATTCCAGAGATGTCAGGTTTGTTTTCTCTGAGGGAAACAACCATTTGGACTGGAATAAAGTTGCAGTGCTCATGTCCCTGGAGGTACCAGCCAGATTTCAGTAACAAACGCAAGGGAAACAAATGGAAAATTCATAAGGATTGCTTTTACATACTAATCAATAAATGCTTTTTCATGTTTCATGGACATGCGTATGATGTTTGCTATGGTAAAAAGCTTAGGGTAAGCTATACTCTGTCTACTTAGGATAAGAAAAAGAACCATCCAGACCTACTTTGTTTTGTGGCCTGAAGTTGCACAGTTAGGGCATGAAATAAAGTTAATTGCACCCTGATTGACAGCCACAATCAAATGCAGTTAGAAGGAAACAAAACCTGACAGCCTTGATGTTGCCTGTGGATGCTATTTTATTAAAAAGGGTTCTTTATAGTCCAAATAAACAGCATCCAACTACATAAAAAGCCTTGAAGGGAAGCAAAGGAAGCATATTCAGAGTTGAGCAACAATAACTTTCTTGTTACAGTTTCGTGTGGTTCCTGTAGTTTTGATCTTCAGAAATACTGCAGGGTTCTTTGATAAACACAGAGCCTTTTAAATAGTCCCTCTGAGATTTACCCGAGACTCCCATGGCCACGAGTGAAAGCTACTCAGCTGGGTCTGTGCACATTGCGCCACTGTCTCCCGCTCTGATATTCCACACGGAATGCCAGTGGGAGCCCTTTCCACAGTTTCTGACCATCTTTCAGGTCAGAACAGAATGTCTCGCTCTTGCCAGCCCTCCCAGGAAGCTGGGGAGCTTCTCTTACACGCTCTGCTTCTTCTATTGACAGGCTGGAAGACCGCTCTATGTGGTGATGGGAGAGGAAACTTGTTCTCCGGGCTTTGCCTATTTTCCAACCCCAATTTCATTCTGTTAAGCTAGAGTCTGCCTGTCCTCCCATTGCAAGCAGCCCCTGTGCTCCACTCTGCAGAGCTCTCCTCTGTCATCGTTGTATATATGTGCGTTTCAATAAAGTAACATGCATTCAAAAGTGTGTGCTCCTCAATGAAAAATCTGATGTTGCGACAGTGAGCATTAAGTTATTCATGAAATCAGTCTCCCTCAAGTAGCAAATTCAAGGCTCGTTTCACCAATATAAGCAGTGGCTATGGAAAATATAAAGATATGATGACTTGTGATGGCCAGGACTTAGGTGTGTGTGTGTAACGGAAGTATTTGGGAACATTGGACAGGGGAATACTAGTTTGGAGCAATTTGATGAACTCCTCCTGCCATGCACATGGGCCCCTTGTTAACTTCATTGGCCTATGCTGTCCACAGACAGGATTGCTGTCTAATAGCATTTTCTGAAAAACGTCTTCTGTCTCCCCTGTTTAATGTGGTAGCCACTAGCCACCTGTGGCTTTTGAGCACTTGAATGTAGCTCATGCAAATAAGGAGCTGAGTTTTAAATGTTATTGAACTTTAAATAGCCACTTGTTTCTAGCAGTTACCATGTTAGACAGCTCAGGTATACATAGTTCCTTAGGCTACTACTCTTGGAATTTGAGTCATAAGCAGAAATACACTTGAGTTGGATGATTATGTTTTCACACAACATGGGGTATTTTAATCAATTTAGCTAAAGGTTATTAAACCTCTTCCTTCATGTACCTATTTGTATGAGCTTAGTTTTAAATCACTGTTTTTAGATTCTTACATGTAATTTTTAAATGAAAAAAAATGGGACTTTTCCACCACATCTAAATGCCTGAAAGGCTAAACATTAAACAGTCTACATTGTACGCATAACTTTCCCCTCTTTACCTCATCATGCGAGAAAGAGAACTAACCCTTCACACCAGGTGAGCTCTGTGGTGCTGATCAGTGGCTTCCAGGTTCTCTGACCTTCATCTTCTCTCAACTTCTGAGTCCTCACTTGTGGAATGGGAGTAGTAAATCCTGCCCAACTTTCCACATGTCTATACTGGGATTAAAATTCAAGTTACGATATTGTTATAAGTAAGCAAGAGTAGGGAAGTGGCTAAGGATGATGTTCTTGATGATCCCTGTGCTGGGTTACAAATCCCTTGCTACAGATGGAAGGTTGTGTCCCTCCACATCCATATGTTGAGATCCTAATCCCCAGTGCGATGGTATTTTGAGGTGGGCTCTTTGGGGGTGATTAGAACATGAGCACACATGAATAGGATTAATACCCATATAGAAAGGGACTCCAGAGTGTTCCCTTGTCCCTACTATCACATAGGACACAGTGAGAAGACCATTGTTCATAAACCAGGAAGCAGGCTCAAGTGGCAACACTGCATTCCAACAGGATCCCTAGTAGTAGTACTCAAATATTTTCAGCCTGCTAATCCTCTCTGGAATAGGCATAAAGGCACCAGATCACCCACCTGTTATTGCAAATAATAATCCTCACTTCAGTGACAGTGAAAACAACTCCAGCTTCATTAATGAGACTAGTGACCCGGTACACGGATTTGTGCACATTGAAAGGAAATTAATTAGAAGGTGGCCAGAGGGGCGGGACTGAGCGAGATGTGCCAGACATGCCCTGGAGCCAACCTCCCGCGGTCCCTCCCTGGCCAGCAGCACCTGCGGTAGCTCCATGGCTTGAAGGATGTCTGCGGAGTGAGTGGGGTCCCTCTGGCAGGTGGGGTCCCTTGGCCTGGCCTGCGGGGATCGGGCCAAAACCGGCAGTCCCACATCCCCTGAGGGGTCCCAGAATGCGAGAGGGCACTCTGGAAAGTTGCTGTCATACAGGGTGTGGAACACAAATGCAAATGTGCAGTAAACCAGATTTGCGGCAACAGTGCCCCAGCAACAACATAACCCACGGCCGAAGGTTTTGGGGTGCATCACCCGAGAACCACTGCTGCCAAGTCACTGCAGCTCGGCAGCTCCTTTGTTGAATGTCTGCCCCCTGGTGGTCAGTGTGCATCATAGCGACCGATCGGACAGACACTTAGCATATTAGCGATTATGCTAATATTATAGCATATTGTGCACTCAGGGGGGTCCCTAAGCCTGGCCTGTGCCCTCTCGCAGTCTGGGACCCCTCGGGGGATGACCACCTGCTGGTTTAGGCCCGCTCCCTGAGGAATTGGGCCTAAGCTGGCAGTCAGACATCACTCTGGCAGCCCGGGAGCCCTCGGGGGATGTCCACTTGCCAGCGGGGAGCAGGCCTAAGCTGCAGTTGGACATCCTTAGCGCTGCTGAGGAGGCGGGAGAGGCTCCTACCACCACCGCTGACTGGCAGCCGTCAGCCTGGCTTGTGGCTGAGCAGAGCTCCCCCTGTGGGAGTACACTGACCACCAGGGGGAAGCTCCTGCATTGAGCATCTGCCTCCTGGTGGTCAGTGTGTGTCATAGTAACCAGTCATTCCCAGTCTTTCTGCTGTTAGGGTCAGTTTGCATATTACCCTTTTATTATATAGGACAGAGGCCTGGTGTATGGGTGGGGGCCGGCTGGTTTGCCCTGAAGGGTGTCCTGGATCAGGGTGGGGGTCCCGCTGGGGTGCCTGGACATCCTGGGTGAGGGGCTGATGGCTGTTTGCAGCTGGTCACACCCCTTCAGGGTGGGGGTCCCCACTGGGGTGCCTGTCCAGCCTGGATGAGGGGCTGATGGCTGTTTGCAGCTGGTCACACCCCCTTCAGGGTGGGAGTCCCCACTGGGGTGCCTGGCCAGTCTGGGTGAGGGGCTGAGGGCCATTTTCAGGCTGGCCAAGCCCCCCAGCGATGGAAGCTCCCAGCCTCTCCTTTTTTTCTTTTAATTCTGGGATTTATTTACCTTCTATAATTGAAACTTTGTTGCCTTCAGTGGAGCTCAGAGCTGGCTCCTGCACGCTCCAGCTCCGTGGCCATGGCCAGCTGAAAGCAGGTATCTGGGGTTTATTTATCTTCTATAATTGAAACTTTGTTGCCTTCAGCGGAGGCCAGAGCCAGCAGGGCAGGTGGGAAGCTTGGCTTCCTCCATCGCCGGGGCAACCAAGCCTACTGCTTGCTCCGGCTCCGTGGCTGCCGGCCGCCATCTTGGTTGGGTTAATTTGCATATAGTCACTCTGATTGACTGGTGGGCGTGGCTTGGGGGCATAGCTAAGGTTCAGTCAATTTGCATGTTTCTCTTTTATTAGATTCGATAGTCTATAAACAGCACAACTCTATAAGCATTATTAAGCTCTCCTCTCATCCAAACCCTATTAAGTATAAATTTTCATAACTTTTTTGCAGATGCTGTTACATTTTTATGTTTATCTTTACAATGCCATGACACATTCAAGCAGATAATTATTCTGCTGATTTTCACGTATAAGGAAACTGAGGCCCAGGGAAACTATGTGACTTTCTGCCTTACTCAGGTTAGGGGTCCAGGCAGAGGCTCCTCTAGTTACAAACTCTACCCTGCCTGATGCTGTCTCACAGAAGAAGTAAGTCAAGACCAGGTCACATACAATCCAGTTAAGAGTATAACTCTGGCACACTTAAAACAAATTAGAGAATAACAAAGTACTCAACAAGAAGCATTTAGAAAGGGAAACGAGTGTCCAGAAATAGCTGGAAAGGGCTTAATGGAGAAGGTGAATGTTGAGCTGGAATGAGGACACTCTATGTAAGGTGACCAGCTGGGCTAAACTCAGAGGTGGGACAGCTGCAACTCATGTAGGAAATGACAGGACCAGGGGCAGAATAGCCAGGGGTTAGATTGATGAAGTAGGTCCAAGAATGGCCAAACTCATCCATCTGTCCATTCATTCACTTAACATTTTTGAGCACCTTATATATATTGGGCATTGTACTAAGCGCTGGGGATATAAAGATCAATAATAGTATCTCAGGCAATTTACTGTCTAATGAGGGAGACAAATAATTACAGTGCATTCTTAGAAGTGCTAAGATGAGTGTTAGAGGTTTGGATATAGCTAGGTTCTTCTGTCCTACTCATCATGCTTCCCTTTGCAGTTTTCTGACAAAGGAGCTGTAGATTTGAGAATCAGTTGCCAGATGGAGAACAAAATTCCAGATGGGCAAGTATCTGATGATTCGGATTCAGGGCTGCCCTAAGCTGAGTCAGGGCACCTGGCTGAGCCCAAGACTCTAGAACAGTGGTTCTCAACCTGTGGGTCGCGACCTTTTTGGCGGTCGAATGACCCTTTCACAGGGGTCGCCTAAGACCATCCTGCATATCAGATATTTACATGACGATTCATAACAGTAGCAACATTACAGTTATGAAGTAGCAACGAAAATAATTTTATGGTTGGGTCACAACATGAGGAACTGTATTTAAAGGGCCAGAAGGTTGAGAACCACTGCTCTAGAATATCCCCTTCCCCCCACATAAAATCTCAGCATTCTGGTGGTGAGTGACAGGAATTAGCTCAGTGGGGGACCTTCCCAAATCCACTTACCCAAACAGCCACATGGAGAAGAAGAGCCGGCCCATCACATGCGGCAGCAAATGGAAGAAGATAAGGGGCACTCGTGAATGCAGGTTGCCTTCTGACACAGCGTCCCCGCCCACAGTGCAGTGGGGCCTCATGAAACAGAACAGCCGCTGGCCTGGCATCCTGAGGGAGACAGGGAAAGAGGACAGAGCCTCTATGGGCAAAGGCTGCAGTGTGGGCCCTTCACACTCAGCATGCTCACAGCTGTCATTCCCTATCGAGGGGTCAGAGTTATCTCCTTCCTCCCTCACAAGAAGTGGGCATGAGGTGCTCCAGGAGCCAGGGAGGCGCCCCCACCCCAGGCTGGGGAGAGTGGGGGCGGAGCACCTATTGCCAGATGAAGAATGCGAGATAGGAGGTAGAGGGCATGCAGTTAGGAGAGAGTAATACATATTTTGAGTGTTTTGTAAGTTATTTGAATTTGACCATATGCTAGGCCTGGACCACTGGGTCACTGTTTTAAAGGGAAAACCCCATTTGATATGAAATCAAGTCCTCTAGGCAGCCCAACTCTTTTCTCCCAGCCATTCTTCCCTCCCCGCTCCCCCCAATACCCC